CCTGGTCAGAATCACATCTTGCTGATCCAAAACTTGGAAAATGCCAGGAAGGATGACTGTGCCAACGCCAGTTTGGTGTATCCTGCGGCTGCAACACTGCGACTGCTACCGCTACTACGACTACTGCTACTACTACTACTACTACTACTACTACTACTACAGTACTACTACTGGTGCTACTCCTGACTCCTGATACTATAATCACGACAAAATACTGAATTTCTTGACATCTGTGCCTGTGCGACTCTCTGCTGAGCATCCACGTGTCAGGATGAAGCGGGCGCAAGCCCATGTTTCCGTCGCTTCCGAGCAGCGTGAACTCAGCATCCTCGTCAGTTGGTCTGCTGAGCCACAAGGCAGAAGCCTTCTTCGTGTCATCAACCATCTCAGGCAATGCAATACATCTGTTCGTCAAGGTTCTCTTGAGTTGACGGTGGCTGGCTTCAGGCTGTTGTTGACTCGGGCCGTGGCCCGCATCTTTTCCAGAAACACCAGAAGGTCGGGCAAGCTGTTTGCCAGCTAAACTGATCGATTTACATGTGCTGAGCGCTGAGTTCTGCACGACCAGGAACATTGGACGGAACTACTTACTGTGTACTCCTTGCTCCGCAATCCGCAATCAAGCTGAGAGCTGAGGCAAGGCGCACATCCAGCCTGATAGCGAACCCTGCAACATCAACAGTGCTGCAATGACGGTGCCGCAATGCTAGTTGCTACTTTGTGTTGTTAGTGGTGACCGGGTTTGTTGTATTACTGCTGCATTTGTGCTATTACTGGGAAGGCTTTTCTCGAAGCGGAGCTGCCAACCTCGCAGTGTTCGATGGCATCGGGTGCTGGATTGGCTAAGCACAGGCTCGAGTCAAGGCACCGGAGCAGCAAAGCGGCGCGAGCAGGTGAAGGCTACGGCGCAGCCTGCTGGATGGAGCTTCTCGAATTCAGCTAATACACACAGACATCATCTAAGCAGCACATATACATACGCAGGACATGTAAAGGTACTTAGACTTAGTATAGTTAAGTTGCATCTTCACATAGCACCTACACAGAGATATATGAAGCCTGGAGCTGGCCATGTGACTTCCGGAGCTCTGCTTTCTGCAAAAGGGCTAAGGCTAAGGGCCCCAGGTGTTCCGAGCTTCGCTGACACCGACCCCTGGGCCTCGGCGCCGCCTCGGGCAGCGCGGCGCGCAGCGCACGGAGGCTGGGCCTTCCAAGCTGGAAAGTGCTGTGAAAGGCGACCATCGAAGGTTCCTGCAACATCTGCATCGGTGTACGAGAACGCCCAAGAACTTGCAAGTGGCAAATGCTTCAATCCCTGCGCCCCGATTTGCCGAGGGCGCCACACGTCACCACGTCGCGTTGCCAGGGATGCCAGCGCGCTGTCCAAATCCATGGCGCGCCCGGCATGCTGGGGTCACTAAGACTGCGGGTTCAACTTCAACGGAGTCTTCCTTCTTCCTGCGGACAATTGGCCCTTCTTGCGAAAACCCGCTCTTCCAACAGCAGGAATGTCCGCCAACAGGCAAAGGAAGGCTGGGCCCAAAGCTCAGTTGCAGGGTTTCGGAAATGGGCAAAAGCATCGAGAACATGGAAGACCTCAGTCTGAAGGGAAGAGGGGCCGATACATGAAAGCGAGAACCCCTCCAGTTCCAATCCACAAATAACAAGGTATATCGCTATGCAACACGACGCGCCCTGAAGGGGATACCAGTAGCATCGGCGCACTGCCGGTCGCTCCCGGATCTTTTGCCGGCCGCTCCACATCCTCAGCACGCTGCGTCCCGCCCAGACACAGCCAGTGTGTGTGTGTGTGTGTCGGTGTGTGATACACATACACAGAGAGAGAGAGAGAGAGAAAAGCAGAGGCTGGAGCTATGTTTACAAGCTTCCCTGTGCAGTTTACGGCAGCTAGGGTTTTGGTTTCTGGTATTCAAGACCCTTCACTTGAGCGATGTGGCCTGATCAATGAAACAAGGCTTGACGAACATCGAACAGCACGCCAGCACCCTGATTACTAGACTCATAATTGCACCGCACTCCCTTTTCGCTTCTGTGACACTGGGCTGTTGAGCTTCTGTTTGTCGCATCCTGGGCCGGCTGGTTGTACGCAGCCCAAGCGAAACCAATAGTCGATCAAGGGCGTCCACTGCTTGAAAAGAAAGAAGTACGTGCGCGGTACATGAGTGCAGTAGGTTTCATGTCACTTTCTTCACCGTTGGCTGTTCGAAAACCGTGTGTCATCAGGCCACAAGGCTGACCTGTCACAATTGATGGCTTTGAAGTTGCTAGCAAGCTAGACTCTACCTCGCGAGCCAGTTGAGAAGTCTTTCTTGAGAGGAGGTTGCAGGCACCGAATCGCCCCGAAGCTGGACTCCAATTCCTGAGACTGCGAAGCCTTTGCGATTCCGATGCTCGAGTCCCAGTGGACGACATCTAAAAGGCCTTGCACTTAGGTCCCTGAGCTCGGCGCTCCAGCGGCAACGGGGCCGTCGTCGTCGTCGAAGCGCTGGCGTCGGGAGAGGCGCTCGCGCTCCTGAAAAAACTCTGCTCGCTGAGAGTTTCGAGAAACCTGGTCCTTGACCCTTGGAGCTCCGCGTTAATGCTCAAGCGCTGGCCCGGATCAGATTGGGGCCGGAAGCCTTGGCCCTCGCGCCTTCCTGGCTTCGATGTCCAGCATGATCATTCCGCGGTGGAGGTCCAAGGCCTGCCGAGCGTGAGGCCTTCGGGCTTCGACGCCCCGAAATCCCAAGAGTCCGAATCTGCCGCCATCAAACTGACACGTCAAACTTCTAAAGGACTTCCATGTAAAACGCGTTGAAGCCGCTAAACTTCCACTTCTTCTTCGCCCGGCTCTTGGCAGCTCTCGCCCTCTCCGGCGCCTTCAGCGCGGCGGAGATCGCCTCGTCGGCGGTGCGCCGTCCCACGGCCGCGGTTCGGGCCAAACCTGCGTGCATTGCACGCAGCTCCTACGCCCCTCCACGGCCTGGTTTCCCCCAAGTTCTAGTTCTGAGCCATCTCGGCTCCTGAATCGGTAGACTGTGAATCTTAGATTCCTCCTGCCTTCTCCGGTAGGACAGACTTTCTCACCGAGCCCATTGGGGCCCTGGCTCTCTGCGAGGAGCCGAGCTCCGAGACGCAGCAAATTCGTCGCCTCGAAACGCAAAGACCGGAGACTGACAGGCAGACGGGCCGCGGCAGGGTGGGTCCCTGCATTTTGCATGGAGCCTCCCTTCGGCTGATCGCTGGCGGCTCGCACCAGAGAGAAGGGCGACGGCTTCAGTTTAAGCCGTGGTCTGAAGCCCAGGGCATCTCGACCATCCACACACTCCAATGCCGAATCCTAGCCCTAAAGCCGAAAAGGTGCCTCGAAGAATTCCACAAAGATGCGTGTGGATCTTCGCGTACGAGGATTACAATTAAAGAACAGTGTCGCTAGATGCGAAAGCCTTGACTTGCGTGCACACCCGCCAATGGTTTATTTCAGACTTTCCGCGGGCCTCTTCGGATCGTCCACGGGCCTCGCGGGGCGCTAGAGTTGCAGTCACACTGGGTCTCAGAAGGGCTGAGCAAAGATTTTGAAAAGACGTTTGGGCTCTGCATGTGCCCGTATTCTAGTCTGAACAAGGAGGCTTCTTGACATCGCTTTATCCGCGCGTTGAGTGGGGCATTTGCGGGGTACATTCCCTTGTAGGCCACCGCCTCCTGCGACTCGGGCGAAGCCTTCTCCACCTTCCGCAGCGTCGCCTCCGGCCCGGCCCGGGGCTTCAAAAGCGCAAAGCTACAGAAAGAGGTCCCCCGAACACCAGCAAAAGGCCTCCGTGGCATCGCTGATCCTGTGCTGTGGGTGCAGATGGCTTCAAGTTCAAGCTATCAGAAACTTCTGCTCTCCCGGTGCCTTATAAAGGCGGCCTCCAGGCTCCGCTCGGACGCTCGGAGCTTCGAGGCGCTTAATTTTGGGGACACGGGAAAGTTTGACAGAGCCTGGCAGGGCCCACTCTGTTAGTCGCTGGCCGCCAAATAGCACCTCTTAGTCGAACTCCAGTCGACGGCGCGCCTGTCGAGGAGCTCGGCCGATCCCCCGCAGGCGCGCCCTGAGGCAAGGGAGTGATCTGGTGCAGAGTCTCTCGTCGGAGATGAAAGGAGAAAGACTTCTAGCTGGCTGCGGCTGCGTGCCCTGTTCTGTCGATGGATTGCGTCGTGGCTGCTGCCTGCATCCTCGGCCATAGCGCATCGGTCCCGGAGCGCCATCTGGGAGAGGGAGCTTTGACAGGGGTACTGCACCCCAGTGTGCATGAAAGGCGGGCCGTGACGTCACAGGAGAAATCCTCCCCTTATCCTTGACCCTTCCCGGGCGAGCGGCTGCGCAATTCAAGGTCTCAGCAAGGTCGGCGCAGTCGCTGAGCAATGCCTGCATGGCTCCAGGAACTCGGGGCATGGGCCAACTGGCAAAATCGATTTCCGGGTTCCGGTTGGGTGGGAAGAGATGCCTCTTGGGTGCCTGCTGAACCCGACCCTTCGCCACTTAGCCGTCTTGGGCACCTCCTGGCAAAGTCGCTGCGTAGGCAATACGACGATCAACACCTAATCGGCTTCTAGCTCCTACTCGTGCAACGGAGCAGCGCCACCCTCTTCATGGCCATTAGATCCGTGCAAGCACTGACAGCAGACTTTGTCACAGAAGTAAGAATTCGGAACAATGCTCTCTTTGCCTCGGCCTCGGCGCACTTCGCCAGTGCCGCCGAGGCGTGTGAGAGAGCTCTGAGCTGGGATGCGGCGCCTCGTCACTGCGGAGGGGCCTTGCAACCTCGAGCCTCAAGTGCCCCTCTTGCACTCACTTTTTCAGAGAGGTTCCAGTTTGCCGGCTCGGGTCATAGCGGCTTGTAAGTTCTTGCGGCTGACGGCTGACGACTGGCCCCCTTTCCATACCCCGCGCCTCGGAGCTCAGACGCGCTTTGGCCTGATAAGCTTCGGTCTCTTTCCAAACTTGGGAAACAGGTCACCGGTGGGACCTAGTATGGTCAGAAGAAACCTTTCTCTGTCCTAGAGCTCGTTGAAATACAAACAGTTCCACAAGCCAAACTCACTAAATCCATCCCTCGAACCTCCATTCAAAGTGGAGATGCAACAACCCTTGCCTTCAAGTACTCTCTTATAATGAGACAGTTTCTATGACTGACTCTTATAGTGTAGTATTATGATAGCATTTTTTGACTTAGTTAGGAAATCGTTGGGCTCTCGACGTCGGAGGGGGAGTCCCGTAGGGACGCCGGAGGTAGGCGCGGCTCCCGGGAGCCGGGCGCGTGAGGTCCCGGAGGCTGCGCAGGACCCTGCGTTTGCCATGGCCCTGCAGAGTACTGGGGATCAGTTTTTTGTCAGCTTTTTGGGTTTGTTACTGTTTGTTTACTGTTTGTTGCTTTTTTGAGTTGGCTTATTGACGAATTGCAATATGGATTCCAATATTATGTTGTTGCCGATTACGACGACAACTTCTCATCGTTGAGTTCTCCTCCTTCCTGTCTTCTTTATCTTGTTCACTCTTGTTCTGGAACCCCGCCATGCCCCAACAGTTTGGGGTTGCTTTGGTCTTTTAACCTTTAGGAGCAAAGCGTTTCTGGAGCTCAGAAGTTCTGGCTCGGGTTGTTTTGAGGCCGCAGACTCGGAGATGTAGCAGCGCCTCGCTCTCAAAAAGGAGCTATGAGAACCAGCACGAGAAGACACGAGGGTTTGGTCTAGAGTCGCTAAAGACGCGACTTTCGAAAGCGAAAGACCCGGCACGGGCCTCTGCGCCCTCGTCCCAGCTTCGCAAAGCACGGTGGCCGCAACGCGCCACGCACTCCGCAGAAGCGCGAGCCTCTTTCGTGCACTGGGGCTTGCAGCTTCTTTGGGACGGATCATGGCGAAAGATTTATTTCAAGGAACGGTGAGAAGAGCAGATCCTTTCTGAGCAGCTGGTCTAAGGTACAGGCGCAAGAGTGCCCCTAGGAGAAAGGGGCTTTTGTGGCTGCGAGACGGGAGAAGAGGAAAGTAATTAAGGTTGAAGCTTGCACGTGCCATCTTTCTCGTAAGCATGAGAGACCAAGGGCGGTGTGCCATGCCGACTTCACATCTTTCAAACTTCTCTGCAGAGCTCACGCCAGTCCAATCTCACCTGCCCCTGAGCAAGACCGCGAGAGATGCAAGGTTTTGCCTTTCACATGAGGTGACGGCTTCACGACTTTGAACCGGCTTTCGAGGTGACAGGGAGTTTCAAGCTACGTACCGACATGAAGGCATACTCGAATGGAACTGGGAGTTCTCTGTGGCAAGGCCTCCTGCGCATATCTGTAAGACTCGTCGAGAATGGCAGAGGGGCCGAACACCTGCAGACTGTGGGAGCCCTCGCCGAGCCCTCAGAGCGAAAGACGGAGACGTCCCACCTTTCCTACCGGGTTCCCATACACACATATATATATATATATATTTCTGCAAGACTCTTGGAACATCCGAGCCTATAGTATACTATAGTATGGAAAAACAGAAAGCTTAAAAACTCGGGCCTGCAGTGCGACGCTTTCTGTATATATACATATATATATATATAGGGTGTCGACACTCAGCGGTTTTTATGTATATATATATATAAGTATATATATATATATATATATATACGGGCTTTGCAAAAGGATCTTCTTCCTCTTTACACGACGCGAGCGGGAGTCGGCCAACTTCAGCGGACCCGAAGAGAAGGCCCTCGGCCAAAGACCCACAAAACCGGAGGCACTTGGAAAGTCGCAGGCCTCCTCGGGAGGTGGAGTCTCTTCCTTTCGGCAGTCTTTCGAGATCTCTGCGCTGTATAGGATCATGGCCAGGGCCTATATAATCAGACTCTTCAGTGATCAAATCTGAAACTGCAAGCAGCTTGGAGGGTCGAGTTTCTTTCCGTCTCCGTGGAAAGTGTCGCAGAGCAGAATCAAGGGCTGCCTCTGCCGCGACCGTTGCAGCTCCGCCCAACTGCCTGCAGGCATCTGCACGCCAGGAGTACAGTTGAGATCGACTCTGAAAGCAAAGGGCGAGTCCTCACCATTGAATCCCCGAGCCCATTAGCCGAGCTCTGAGAACGAGACGAGATCCAATGTCCCAAACCAAAACCCCCCCTCGGACTCCACGGCCTCTGTTTGAGGATGGAGGAATACGCCTGTTGGATCGCCTGAGGCCGGTCTTCATGTCTCTCCTTGGCACTACCCTTCGAGCCTGAACACGGCCAATGTAGGCAAACAAAAGCCCAAGGACCTTGGCAACAGCTCCAAAAGACAGCGTCACAGCACTCCAGGCGAAAAAAACCGAAAACCGAAACACCATGCAGGAGGATGTCATGACTCTCGTGTTTATTCGAGACCCTCTCGCCTGAAAGCGCCGCTTGTTGCCGATGCCGGCCTCCCGGGTCTCAAGGCATCCAGACCACAAAAGGTGCGCTCCAACTCGGAAGAGGCCGGAAAGCTGAGAACCTTGAAAGACACCTCAGCCTCAAAGCTCAAAGTATCTCCGAAGCCGAAGGCCGAAGGTGGCTGTTGGTCCCGCTTCAACCCCAGAGAGGGGGGGGAGGGCATGCTGCGAGAGGAAGCTGAGAAGCCCCAAACTCCCGAAGCAGCCAAGCCAAAACCCGCCCAGACCTTCCATAGGCTCTGGGCCCTCTGGGCTTTATTTGCCTTGTCCGGGTGCTCCTTGCGCGCCAGGTTCCGATAGGCCTTCTTCACCTGAGACGCGAAGGGGCCTACTCCAATGGAGGGAGGGCTTCCCAGCTCATCGTCAGAAGGCCCCAAGCCTGCGTCAGAAACCGTCTATGAGCCTCGCCTCGCCTCGCCTCGTCTTCGCTGCAAGAGGGGCCATGGAGCCCAAGGATGTGGTAGGAGTCGCGCTCCTCCCAAGACGGCCGCTTTGAGCCGAGGCTCCCAAAGCCAAGGGCTGATGGCCGAGGCGCGCGCCTCGGCCATCTTCGTGACCTGCTTCAGCTCGTCGCGCTGGCGCACGAGGCGCATCACATACCTCAAAAAACGCTCGCGTTGTTTCTCATGGAGAGGGGCCCGAACGACTTTTGACAAAGTGTCCCTCCTCCTTTTTGCGGGGTTCTGAGAACCGCCGCAGACCGCCTTTCCAATCTGGCTTCGGCGCTCGCCGCTCCGGGTTTGGGCCCCCGAGCTCTTCGATGAGCTGATTCTGGGCGCGCAGGGTCTCTAGCGACATCTGCTGCGACTCCGCCTGGCCAAAGACACAAGGCCCCATGCTCGACTTCTATCCTCCCCCCCTCCCGAAATCCGCTTTCGGTGCCTCGAGCTCCACTTCCTCTTTCCCAAGCCTTGGCACGACAGGGGACGGCGGAACTGAGCAGGGGTCCCGGGCTTCAAGTGGCTTACAGGCTGCACAACCGGCGTTGCTGGACAAAGCTGATGTGGCCTTTTTCCGCTCACGAAGGACGCTCTGGGAACCACTGAAAGACGGGACCTCTCCACAGGCCCAGTCTTGGCCTGTAGAGTGCTCCTCGCGGAACGCACCGACAGGTAGGGGGCTGCCAGCTCCACCGACTCCGCACTTTGCTCGGTGCTCTTAAGGCGGCGCTCGACGCTTCGCCGGGTGGAAGATCTCCCACGACTCCCACGTTGCTGCCCATCCCAGAACAGGCCGTCGCCCACACATTCGGATGCAAACATGCGGACCAGGCTGGAACCCGTAGAAGCGCAGCCCGGTTGCAGCACCCCGAGCAAAGATTCGAGCGACTTGTGGGCCGTTTGGGAATCGACTTTTGTTTAATTCAAAAAGCGATCCACGTCCGAAGTGCAGATGCAGATGCCGGACAGCGGCACCCCACGCTGCAACCTCCGCTCCGAGAGGAGCCGAAGAGTCCACTCTTGCAAGGGCCACCATGCGATGCGGAGTCGAACTCCAGGGCTTGCTTCCGCTCCTTTCTTGGCACCGCCACTGCTGCAAACTCCGCCGGTGTGTGTGATGCGGAGCAAGCAGCTGGAGGGGTTGCCTGCGATTTCGCTTCTTCGGAGGCGCTGTTTGCGGCTGCGGCTGCGGCTGCGTTGCTGTCGTTCACAAGGGCATCTGCACACATGTCCGGGGATGAAGAGCCTTCAACCAGCCTGACCTGTTCATCGGTCGATGCATCGGTCGATGTGGTCTTGCGGGGCACCATCTTCACGAAGATGAGCTGCAGAGGCCGTGCAGCTCATGGCAGCCTGGAGCTCCTCCGGCGAGCGCATCAGCTCCTGCGCATCAAGGGCATGAGGAGTGGTTCCAGAGTCCCCATTCCTATGCTCACGAGCTTGTCCCCCGATGCGCAAGCCCTTTTTCAAACTCTCGGCCCAGGTGCTTGGACGGAACATAACGTTGTCTCTACGTGGAAGGTCAGGGCACCCCAACTCGAGAGGGCCCTGCTCCTCCCTCTGAACGATGATGCTCTTGCAAGAAGCAGTTAAAGTGGCCTCTGCAGCGCCCCAGTGACGTGGCCTTCTGAGAAGAGCCTGGCCTCTTCCCTTCAACGCTGATCGTCTTTCCCAGACGAATTTATGGCACATTTCTGTTCCGTCAGTCATGGGCTTGGAACCATGGCCACAAACTTTGAATATAGAGTCATCTGCTTCGACTGACTCCCACTTGACGTTTCGCTTCTTGCACGCAACGTCATGACAGATCTCCATCTTCGTGCAGTCATCATCCAACAGGCACCCCTTGTGGCTTCCACTATCGAATCCCAAGATCAAAGCATGCACGGCGTATGAACGGCGTGACCGACTCCGGGCTGCGCCGCAAGGTCTTCGGTCGTGGGCGGAGCCGTCATGGCATCCCTACACTCACCTTGAACTTTGCAGATGCAAATTCGTTGTAGCTTGCTCGCGGCTTCGCCGAAGGCTTCGCACGACTGTGTCTCTCCAAACTCTTTGACGAAGATCCCCATTTATCGCCCTGCCTAAACCCCCAACACCAAACTGGCGCTAGACTGAGCGGCAGGCTCTTTGAGAACTCCTCCATCACCGAAAACCTGGCGAAGGTCAGCTGTAGTTGCTGGTCGCAGGGGCCATGCAAGGATCTGAGGATCGGAGGCATTTCGAGGCATCTCGGCAGCTGCTTCAAAGAGGGGCAACTACCCTGCGGACGACAAGTACTGGGTGAAAGATGCAATTTCATGGGGTTCTGTGCCAGAACTAAAGTGGCCACGATCCGGAGAGAGTGCGCTCGGCCTTCTCGGAGTTCGGACGGGGCGCGGCGGCCGGCCGCTCCTGTAACGACACGGGCGCTACGACTTGCGTTTGGGGTCCTGCCAGACTCGCAACCGACCCAGGCGTCCCGGCCTTCGACGTTGCTGGTGCTGGGACGGGGCCTCGGCGCCAAAAGAAAGGCCCTTGACTCGAGGTTGTGGCGCTGTCAGAGAGGCTGTGGGCACGACCCGCGGCTGGCGAGGGCCATCCCTCTACGTGGAGCCGCGCCAGCTCCGTCCAAACCTGCCGAACGGCATGAAGCGTGGAGGTACTGATGGGTTGGGGCATCGCTCGCAGAGTACTCGGAATAGGGCGAAGTGAGCAAAGGCAAGGTCGGGCCGCCGGGCCGCCTCCCTTTTTGCTCCAGACTTTGAAGGCTGGATGCAGAGGTACACGGCGAACAGGTCCGTTTTGGACCGCCGCAGCGGTCAGGTACACTCTGCACAAGGTCACACGTACTTTCTTTGACCACCGTGTTTCAACAAACCTTATCTAACTCCCGTCTTCGAGTCGATAGACATGGCAAGTAGCATCGCCACACATTTAGCAGGTGACCACACAGCACAGAGCCACCGAATGTATACACCGTTACTACATACACATGCACATACACATATATATATATATATATACACACACACACATATATATATATATATGGTCGCCC